GTGGAACTACGATGAAGGTTTTCATTGACAGTGACAACCTCACCGACCTCACTCGACTTTTCACTATTGTTGGTGAAGAGGTGCAAACACTGGTCATCATTGCATCGCCAGGGCTGCTGACCCGAAAATGGTGTGTTGGCGAGATGGTGGCAGCTAGATTGCGAAATGTGGATGCAGCATTGTTGACCTTGCCGAACTTTGTTCTGCCTGATTCGCATTTCCTCAAAGCCTTTGAGGGAACGATTCCTGAGGTAAAGGAACTTGCTAACTATGGATTTGGCATGACGGAGATCATGGATACTTTCAATTGGTTGAGCACCATCCGGGCAATTCCTTTAGAAACCATTACCCTGTCGGCGTTCAATTACGTCGTGGCTGAACTTTTGAACTGCAAGACATTGAGCCAAAGTGAATCTCTCAACCCGAAGATCCAGGGTTCCAACTGTTTGATTTTGGCAGACTTGGAAGACGCAGAGGCAGTTGCGACAGCGCATATTCTTCAAATACTCATTGGTTCAGACATGATGCATTTTCATGGTGCTTTGCCGAAGGTGTTGGATGTGGGAAGCTCCCTCAGGGAGACGTTGCCACCATCAACGCTGTTGGAAGTTTTTTGCGCTAATGATTTGCACCAAAGATTGCTTAGTGTCATGTCAAATGGCATCTTGGCTTCTAGAGGCCTTGGACCTTTCAGGAGACGAGGCCGGCTCACTGGGCAGCTCGACCTTGAATACCTCACCCCAGGCCTCACCTCGGCAGCAGCTACAGATCTATGTCCTTCCACTGGTAGCAGAAGACTTCCAGGTTCCATCCAGAGGTAGTTTCGAGAAGATTGTCAAGAACCCTGCTTTGCAGACTATTGACAAGCAAAGGTACACCAACACTTTGCAGGCCATTTTCTTTCAGATTGCCTTGCCATTTGCACCGAAAGTGTCGTCGGAAGGCGATTTGACGTTGAAGGCCAAGCAGATTACTGATCGCTTGCGATCCGACGGGATGGGATCCTTACAGTCCAACTTCACATTAGCCAGAATGTCTTCCTGGAGCAACTCGAACAACAAGACCGCAAGACATATGTAACATAGCTCACTGATGTTACATGTTCATGCTTTTGTCATAACTATTCACATAAGTAGGGTGTGAGGCATCGAAAGAGAACTGCATCAAGCAAAAACACAATATATTCGACGGGATCCGGAAAACATGGATAACAACTGAACAACAAAACCCCAGTGAGCAGTGAAAGGAAAAAGAGACTAGGGAAAGGACAACAGCAGCAGGGCGACAAAAGGATCAGGCAGCCCCCCCACAGAGCAGACCAAAACACAAAACCTACCGACAAAGAACAACAAAAGAGAAGGAAGGGACACGAAAGGATAGAAATGTTGGACACAGCAAAGGTGGGCCCTATCACCCACCAGAGGACAATGGAAGGATGTTTTCAACACATAGTCAAGGAGACTTTGACGAGGGTAATCAATATTTGGTGTGGATATGCCATGGGTGACCTAAAAAAAGAGTTTTCACGGCAGCCGCAGTAGGTTGGCAAAAGTAGATACAGTAAAAGTAGTGCAGATTTTGTGGCGCTGGAGGGGGTTGGGGGCGAGGGCGCAGCGCCCCCCCCCACAGCGGACCAAAAATCAAAGCCACCAAACTCACACATGGATTTATATGGATTTATCATACGCAGCCTCGTTTCCAATGTGCTTCATGCCCGAAAGCCTTTTGTTCAGTCCCAGACCACTTCCTTCATGCATTTTTTCAACATAGGAACAACACTTTGCCATGTCCCTGTCGACAAAACGGGAACCTCCTACTGTTAGCATGAGGCAACAAGGTTCAACCATCCAGCATATCTACAGTATGCATTTCTACAATTACAGGGAGGTTCCTTTTCAATCTTTCAATCACGTGCTGTTTGTGTTCATTCACCACCAACATTGCTAAAACAAACACTGTTACCTCCCCCCACCCCCCACCCTGTGGGGTGAGCTGCCCCAAAAGTGGCAGGCATGCTACTGAGACGTGTGCCAAGTATGAACGAGCGAACGACGGTGAGCTCGTTATGTTTTACTGCTATGGCTACGGAGTGCTAGCAGCTGTATTGGGCCTTGAGCCAAATCAGAAAGCAAGATGTACAAAGTTTAAAGACGAACACACTACATTACAAAGTCCAATCAAGTACATTGCGTAGATACGGACTTAGGGAACCAGGAAGCTACAAACAACACACTCGCCTCAAGCGGTAGGGCGCGAAACCATACGGTGCGATATCTACCGTGGTCCGCACCCCATTGCCCCATCAATGAAGGGCATCAAGAACGTGACGCAAGGACCCAGGCAACAGGGAGAGCGCAGCACTGCTTTGGTCCCCTGGGCCTTTGGTCCCTGGTCGTTTGGTCCCCTAGTCCGTTGGGTCCTTTGGTCCCCAATTCTTTGGTCCCCTGGTCCTTTTCCTCGTTTGCTGGCCGCATGGTCCATTCGCTAGATTCGCGAAATCATATAGTATGTGCGAATTTGGCGCAATCTTTGCAAAACTTAAGGTTGAGGGTTGGTGACGAAAGCTAACATGGCCGTGAGAAAGGAGTGTGTTGTTGGAATATGGGTGAGAACACAAATGAAGAAGAATCAGAACATGTTGCATGAAGTAGTGCATGAAGCGGACAAGCTCGATACCAATCGAAAGACCCCAGGCCACCGCACAATTCAAGGAAAATTGACACTTCCCAGTGGGAAGTTAAAACTGCGGAGGGCCGGCGGAGGGGGGGGCCCTAGCAGTGGATAATTAATGGGCCTTTTGGGGCGCCCAGCCAAGAGTAACTCCAGCTAGCTGCTGGCAGTTTTCGTTACACAGAGCTAGTTTTCTTTCTATGGAAAAGGACCAGAGGACCAATGGACTAGGAGACTTACTCAGGATGTTTTTTGCTAGAACAGATCATATTGCTGGTTTGCCTACATTGAAGCATTCGCACTGCAATGTTGCCTTTGTTTTATGTATTTTATTTATACCTATTAAGACTTGTGTGTTCTGACTTGCTCGTTCTTGTTTCCATTTGCAAATACTTTTGTGCTGCATTTGGTATTGTTTGTCAAATGCTCCTGTTCTTGAGTAGCAGCAGTGACATCCGACTGTGCACTGCAGGTCTACTGTTCCGGTCTCAGTCACCAACTTCGATCGACGAACCTTGCAGTGAAACCACGGAAGAGACGGTGGAATGCAAGTTCTGAGCCAAGTGCTGCCCCATGCTGTGCCACTTTTCAATGAAATGGACACCTGTTGAAATGTCGTGTGTTTCACTTTGTCTCTCACCATCATGCATCCAAAATGTTCAGACTCGCAGGTGTTGGCCACTAGAAGGGCGACCAGTTTTCAGGGAAGCACACAAAGTCATCACATGAGGGAAAAAATCCCAAAATTGATATTACAAATCAGCCCTTTGGTGATGCAAACTACATCAGCGCATTCGTGTTTCACCAGCCGCTTGAAATGACAAATCATGCAGTGCTTCGGGTTTGCAAATGCACTCCATTTTGGAGATGTGGCGCAGTCGGACACAGAACGTACGGAAAAAACGGTTTACAAGGCGTTATGATGCAGGTGCCTTGCTCAGGTGCCCTGCTCGGATCATCATCAGCTGATAATCAGAGAGCGGCTCTAAAGCACTGGGTTTTCCAACTTGCGTTTTCTTTCAGAAGTCAGATTAGTTTTGATCTGAAATGAAAGGAATGAATGGTTACTGTATATAGCTGAGATAATCTATTTCCGAGCTTGCTTGCAGGGTCCAGACTTTCATGTGCCTTGGCCTTTTTTCTGCCATAGCCAAACATGTACCGCAAAAAGCATCAATAGAACTGAGCTGTCAGGACTCAGTGCATTCAAGACTCGGACTCACCGCTTGTTTCCTCGCTTCTCTTTTCTGCACCGTACTCTTGGCTCAGCATACTCTTGCAGTCAGCTGCGTGAAGAGGCAGAAGCGCACTGGCACTGGCACGAATTCATTTCTATAATGCATATAGTTCGGACTATACACCATCAGGACACATGAATCTAGAAGCGGGTGATAATTCATTGACCGCCCCACACACACTGGTCGCGCGAAAAGGAATCCCTAATTCGACCGCGGCTGATTCGAACAGATGTTATAAGATGGTGTAAGAACGGTATGAGCATAACAAATTATGCCAAGTAACGTCAGCAAAGTCAAGTCTAAGGATGCTTTCTCACGACAACAACTCTTTCGCAACAAAGCCCTGCAATTGATTTGGGAAGTCCGAGTATGCAGCTTCTACCAATGCAGCATTCGTGTGAATTTAATCCGTAGGAAATGTTTACAGTGGTTTAGCTTGCCCTACCGGCTTTGTCGCAGCATGGAGGCAACTGTTGGTGTGCAGTGTTTGTTGACTAAATCAACGATCGATGCAGATGACTGCAGAAGCAAAGCTTTCTTGGTCACCTGGGACCTTTTGCGCAGGTCCTTTTGGAAGCAGCTTCCGGGATTCCTCCCGACGCCGTCGTCTCCTTGCGCCTGGGTCCCACGCGCCGACAAGCACCTTTGCAGCCGGGACCCACAGAGAAACACCTAATAGCTTCTTGTTCCTAGTAGCGATGCCAGGAGCCCCTAGTAGCGTTCTTGTTCCTAGTAATGGACACGTTTTGTCTCACCATATCTCACCATGTTTGCCAACATCAGCAACCGTTTGTAACGAGTACCCTCAGGGTGGAAGGCTCTCATGTGCTCGGCTTGGCTCAAGGCATCAGTTGCCACTTGCCTATAGTATTTTGCAGCCAGGTCAAACATATAGACAGTCTATATATACATATATACTGGAGCGATATAGTTAGAGCTTGCTTTATATGTATCATTTATGCATGATGAAATGCATCCGGCTGTCAATTAATATGTCTAATTACTTCAATCAATCCTAAATTCACTGTACCGCACTCGTGTGCCACATGTTGTAGCTACAAACTAAAAAAGGGAGACGAAGTCGTGGACGCCATGAAGCCGTTTCAGTCCTTGCGACGTTTCCGCTGGTCTGATGTGCCCAAGCGTCGGCGACAAGTCACCTACATCACGGCAGGGGTGGCTTTCTCCACGTACACCATGGAAAACAAGTTTAAGGACCGCGCCTTGTGGAATGCGCACAATTCCTGCATTCGGTACATATACATACAAATATATATGTAAATATATATATATAGACTGTCATTACGGAGCCTGGAAGGGTTTGAAACCTGATGATGTGGGGATATTTTTAGCACCTATCTCCTATCTCCGACCTGGTGTTCAAAGAACAGGAAGACTCAGAGGTTCTTGAATGGGCACCTGACCAGAGAGAGAGAGAGAGAGTGTGTGTGTGCCAGTGTGCATCCTGCGACACGCACAGAGAAAAATGACTGGCTCACTAGCTCAACTTAATAAGTAAACATTGCTGTACACATTCATGCGCTGATGTGCGATGTCGTGTGTGAGAGAGGAATGTTTGGAGATCGTGGGAAACAAGGCGGACATCCGAGAACCTCACACCATGTTTTGGTTGCGGGTCCTTTTTGGACGGATGCGATCACGGTGGGTGGGAGCCGCGGCGGATGTACGGATTCCGGTGGCCTTGCGGTCCTCCATCTACAGCTTTTTCGCGTGGAGATACAGTATGGCAGTGGATGAAATTCGATACCCGCTGGATTCTTTCACAACCTTCAATGAATTCTTCAGTCGAAAACTGGTCGACGGGGCGAGGCCCATCTCAAAGGTGCCGAAGGGCTTGGTTAGCCCCGTTGATGGCACTGTGACCACCCTAGGCAAGATCACGGAGGAGAGCGACCGAGTGGAACAAGTGAAAGGTGCCACGTACAACGTGCGGTCTTTTTTGGGTTTGGACCCAAGAGAGAGCATTCAGCCAAAGTCGGAGCTTCACTATGTCGTTCTGTATTTGGCCCCAGGGAACTATCATCGGTTTCATAGTCCTTGCGACTTGACATTCAAAAGAGGCCGGCATTTCTGTGGTGAGCTTTTGCCTGTGAGACCGTGGTTTCTTGAACGATTCAATGATGTCCTTGCGGTGAATGAGCGTGTGACACTCAACGGAGACTGGCAATTCGGCTTCATGAGTTTGGTTGCCGTTGGTGCTGCCAACTGCGGAAGTGTTTTCTTAGACTTTGATCACAAGCTGAAGACGAATCGGCTTCGGGACATAGCAGTTCACTGCGGCGGTGATGTCTCAGAGAAGCTCTACCCCGATGGTGTGAAGTTGAGTTCTGGAGACGTGGTGGGAGGCTTCCGCATGGGCTCCACAGTAGTGCTGGTCTTTGAGAGTCCCAAAGGATTTCAGTGGGATGTGACACCTGGCGAGAATATCAAGGTTGGCCAGCCACTAGGTCAGGTGACATGATGCTTGGCTTAAAATAAATACTGCAAAACGTGTTCATCGCACGAGTGAAAATTGTCAGACCTTAATTAGATTGGGAGCCTTCGGTAAATGCACATCATTAGTCATCAATCGTCATTATATAAATACTATATACTGTATATACATTGATGAAACGCCCTGGTCATTTGAGTGTCCGCGATTCTGTAATTATTGTAATTGTGTTTCGTGGATTGGTCAGTGATTCGTGTTGTCATTCCCATCGGACTTTGTTGAATGCAGCTTGTAATTTGCAAACGTGCATCTAGAGTCACACCCGACATTATCAACATTTTTTCAACATTGTATTATATTGTATTTGTTGTGGATTACAGTATTATTCTTGAATTGTGCGATCGGCGGGTGAGTGTGCGACCATTAAAGCCTTAGTACTTAGTACTGTAGACACTGCCCCTTTCTTGCCCTCTCTACTGCCGTAGTATGCCCGTGTGCTTATTGTGATCCATCCATGATATTTCAATTTGTTGCACAATATTCTGAAATATTGCAAGCAAGACCATCGATTTGCGAAACGCGAAACGCTAAAGGCCCGCGGCCGGTTTCTTCCCGCGCACGTTAATGTAGGAAAATTTAGGAGCACCCCCATTTGCAACCTGTTAGGTGTTCTTTTGGACACATGTCCACCGGGGCGCCGGCATCGCCAATCATGAAAGCTCCCCGATGGAAAGCAAAACAGTCCATACAGGGCCCTTTGTAAAAAGAAAAAGGGGTGGGGGTACAAAAAGAGGGTGCCGGGTGAATGTAGGCCTATGTGCAAGGCACCTCCTGTTGGCGTACGCATCCTGAGACGCTTGAAGACCACAAAAATGCAAATCTGAGTTCTAAGTTCTAAGTGTTGCCGATTTGTTGGATGCTCAGGATGATGTTTGGCCCGCATTTGGTGGAGAGTGGTGACGGTGGTAGCACATTGCCATGACCTTATGACGGTGGTCACTGCCCGATCATCGAAACCAATCGTTAGAAATGAGCGTTTGGAAGGCGCATAAAGAGCGCCTTTGCCTCATCTCTTGCAAAAGCTTGGCCCTGCGCCTTGTTTGCTTGTTTGTGCAGGCAGGTTGGAAAAGAGGGAGACCACATGGGGCAAATAAAGAAGGGAATGATCGATTGCTTGCTGGTGGTGAATTTGTTGGGTGCATGGCTGGAGAGGATGTCTAGTGACATAGTGAGATCGTCGCGATTGGGACAGCTGGCCCGGTTTTGAAAGGGAAAGGCTGCGTCGTCCCAGGTCAGCTTTGTCCCATCCATTGAGATTCACAACAACGCTGGACGATGCATGTTTCTTGACAGCGCGGTTGTTGGGTTGCCTGGGCTTTGGCATAACTCTCAAGAGACTCTGAGAGGTAGAGAGAGTGGGTAGCAACATTGCAACAAAGTGTCATGAAGCAACGCGTCAATATTGACTGTTGATTCATAAAGCCATCCACCGGAAATGGATTTTAATTACCTATGCCCCATCAAGAAATGTTGTTCATAGTTAGACAGTCATGCCTTTGTGGCAACATGCAAACCGACCAGGTGAGCCTTTGCGCGTGGATGTGATGCGGCCTTTGGCCTCAGCCCGCGTGGTGCTTCGAGCAGAAGAACTTCGATATTCAGTTCCTCTCGAAGGAAAACAGGTGACTTCAGCTGCAACAGAGGCAAACCAGTGAGAAGTCTTCCCGTATTCCCTACAAGCTATCCCGGCTAACGGCTAACTTGGACAGGAGGCTGCTTGTTTTGAACACATCCATGAACCTGCAGGGAGGATGTGCAGCTGATGTGCATGGTGGGAATGCCTTGAGACAGACCGAAGAGGAACAAACATGACACCTCCCAGGTGCTTGTTGCGGCGCAACGTCGTAAATGGGGATGATGTGTGGCTCAAGGGAAATCGACAGCTGTTCCACTTGTAAATGGTCGTTTAACATTGTCACATCGTGAAAAACTTGAATACCTTTGAGACGCTTGAATAACTTTGGCTTGACCAGTTGGCAAGCCAAGTTAAGCTTGAATTATGAATTCATCAATGTGAATGTTAATGTCACAGGGACAGTAGGCATGCCTGCTCAGCTCAAATGAAGAATGCATTTTGACAAACAGTTATACATGGTAAAGATTGACATGTTGCATTGTTACATTCTTTGGATTCGCATCGATTGAAGTGTTTTCTCAAAGGCAAGTAGTACCCCGGTTCAACGGATCAATGTTGAGCAAATGCACTTTCAGAGACTGCACATCCAAGGATATGGCTTTGCGTCTCAAGGTCAAGCCTGCCAAAGTAGCAGAGCGTGAAAAAGGAGGACCGAGAAATCACCCCAAACGGACCCAAACGAACCGAGTGCCGCAACGGGGGAGACAGAATATGCGGCTCCATGTATCTCCCCTGTGCATTGAAACTGCGGATTGTTCCAATGGTCCTGTTGCAATGGACTTCAGCCTGTCAATCCTTGGTTTGGCCGGGCTGCAACACATCAAAAAGCAGATTGTAGCTGCAGCTGTCCGTGAAGACCCATGGGGACTGCGGACCAGTTAGACGAAGCGCACGAGGAGAGCCAGCTGGCAAGCTGTCTGCCACGTTGAAAGATGTTACGGCGGGTGCCAAGGATGCTCAGCTCCAAGTTGGCGCGGTAGAAGTGAGTGAACTTCTTCAGAGGAGGTGTCATTTGCCCCCTTTAGATTCTGAGAGAGAGAGAGAGGTGATATATACATATATACAAATATATACACATATATATAATACATAGTCCGAGGCCTTTGATTCTGCCTTTTGCCACGTGCAATGCCCGTCCTACGGTTTACAAGGCTACCAACTTGCAGCGCTGTCTTCTGACATGCGTTGGGGCTTGTATCATGTACGGCCAATGCTATAACTGCCAAGCTTGCTTTCATTGGTCGTTTTTGTTGGCAGGTTTTTCACAACCCAGGATTTTGATTTCTCAGGATTACTTGGAGCATCACAAAATCCTGCAGTACATGCAGGCTTTGCTTCATGCAGTGATCCAAGCGAAGCCACTTGAGTCTTTGGCAAGAAGTAAAGGCAACTGGCATGTAGATGAAGCGGTCAGTTCATGATATTGAAGAAAAACACACGCTAGCAGCATGTAACTGTGGTATGCCGTATGCCGACTTCTACTTTCTGTCTTGGTGCCGTATCAAGTCCACCGAAAAGGTGCCAAGACACAAATGTATAAATATATAGATATATATAGTATAGGTATCAGGCGGTATCGGTATCGTAGGTATCGTGTTGATTGAATCACCTTGACAATGTGAAAAGCTGTGAATCACCGGACGTCCGAGCGCATGCGACGTCCACCGATCGGTCGAGCAGTCCAGTACCCCTAGGACCCCTTCTCCTTCATGGTGGCACAGCTCACATCGGCCCGGAGTCGCCCATCACGAAGCCAAAGAAGCAGGATTGGCTGGTGACCTGTGGGATTGGCTGTTTCTCATAAGCTCGTCATGTCGCAGCGAACCAGCAGGAGGGGAAGTTGCCCTGGCTCACTGGCAAAGGACCTGCACAAGATGGCAAAAGTGGGGAGAAGCAGAACGAGTCTGTGAAATATGTGAGGGCGCGAAACTAAGCTAAAAGATCCTAAAGATCATGGCACCTCAGTACTGTAGCAAAGATAGTGAAGAGCCGGACCCGCCTTGCATATCATGGAGTATGGAAGAGTATCTACCCATGGCTAGCTCTCTCTTGCTTCAACAGAAGCCCCGCGGCTTCGAATCACAGGATTCCAGCACACAGTTGGATCTCCAGCCAGAGACTTTGCAGCAAGAGTGCACAGCCGCTGAGGAATTGTATATACACGCAGTGTTTTCCGGGCCCTAGATTGTATCCTGTTGTGCTAACAAGGCAAGTATTTGGCACGGTCACGGTAGTAGGTTGGAGGTTGGAGGCCATCGCTAGTAGGTTTATGTCGGGCGCGCCAGCCATAGATACAAGGAGCCAAAATAATTGTATAAAGCAAAAGAAAAGCAAAACAATGTAGCTGTGCGTGTTTGTCGTTTTTTTTCACTGTGTTTTTCGCTTTATTTTCGCAGTTTTTCCTAGGAGCGTACAGCAAATATTGCTGACGGGTAAAAGTTCTCATAAGTGCAGAAGTGGTATCAGGAAAAAAGCAAAAAACAAAAGCAAAACAAATGCAAAAACAAAGCAACTTGCGCTGCTTTTGCATTTTCATTTGCTTTTGTTTTGCTTATTTTTGTTGTTCGCTGTTTCTTGCAAAAAAAATGATGGTTGGTCACGTATGGCTGCCATTGCCCAATATAATACTGTAGTAGCTTGGAGGCCATCACTAGTAGAGTTGGAGGCCATCGCTGGTAGAGTTGTTGCAGCACTTTCCGATGTAAAATGGAAGGTCCGATGTTTGGGCTGGACGTGGACGTGGAATCGGGACACGAAATCTTCGCGCTGGGTACCATGGTGAAGTCATATGACATGCATATGACAGCAGAAATTCAGACATTTTTTCACAAGAACGTCACACTCCCAAGGAGATAGAGCTCGCCTCCGACCCCGGTCCTTTGCCACCATCATCTGCATGATCCCCAGGGGGCGTTTTTGAGCATGTTGCAGTACTGCAACTTCCTTGTGTTTGTGGTCATCTCATGTTTGCTAATTTATGATTTCTGCTTTGCGTGGCATGACCAGTCATGTTCTAACAGCCGCGCCGCTAAAGTTGATGCATTTCTCAGGTGCCCAGCATGACACCCTTCGAGGTCTTCTCCGACCCTGGCCAGACCCGGAAGGCCAAGCCAATTTGTTGCCACTTGTTCACCCTGGCAAATTGGCACATCCGAAGGCATCAGGTCCACCCTCAACAGCTGCATGCCCCGTGCAGGACTTGGCTTGAACTGTTGGCCGCAACTGAGATAGCCTAACAACTCCAGCTTAGGCTCCAACAGAGGATGCTGTCCCAGCATGCCATCCGGATCCGGAGGAGACTGAGGCCCAAGAATTCCCAAAGCGGTGAAGCTTGCCGGATCGATGGACAGGGTGTTCAGGCTACTCGTACCTTCAGGTTGGAATTCTAGGTTCTTGCAAGTTACAGTAGTAGTGCCCTTGCTAGCAGCGATGCCGGCAATGCCATTAAGCTTGTTACTAGTAGCGATGCCCTTGCTACTAATTCTAATTCTCCATGCTATGCCCTCCTTTTGCTATTCCAAGTCTTCGCAGCAAACTTTGCTTCTTCTCAAGTCGTCTTTTCTCAGGCAAGCCTTGCAGGCCAGAGGCAGGAACCAGAAGAACCAGCACCAGAAGGCACAGGTGTCCTGGCAACTCGGCATCTTCGTAATTGGTTCCGTCCTTTGTGCATGTTTGACGTGACACGTGAAGCCACGTGAGCAACCGCCAGTTCATTTTAGGAATTTGCCTAAAGCCTGCAACAGCGATAAGTCCCCCTCGCTATAGTCCCCTCTCAAAAACGAAAACCTTGTCTTTATTTGTTTTTGGCAGACGGCCACGTGCGCCAAGGGTGATGAGGAGCACCTTGGCTGCAAACTGCTTTCGCAGAGCAAAGCTGCAAAGCTGGTAGGCAATGCAAAGGGGGATGTCGAGAAAGTTGGGTAGAAACTCGGGTTGGCGGGAAAAGGCAGTGCGGGATAATACTTAATTGACTGTATATACAAAGTTCAGAGTTCTTCAAGGCCAGGTGAAGAAACCTGTCGGGTTGGCATGAGGTTAGAATGTTTGCGCGGGAGCTTGCGAAGACAACTGGAGGAGGCAGTTGATGAAGGAAAACTGGCCGAGCACCCAGTACATATTTGGCTTCGATGCAATTGACGGGAAACATTCTATGCTAAATCGAATTAAAATGATACAGTAATAGTAGTAGTTATATACAGTTATTGTTATGTTACCATTGTGTATATTGAATTGAACCTAGTTGGCTTCCGGAACCACTTTGGCCGTGTAGCCAAGGCCAGTGCTGTGGAAAGAGCTGTGGCCCTGATGTCTGGACAGGAAGATGACGAGGCACAGAATAAACTGTGTTAGATACAAGACAGCTTCCATCCTCAAACAGAAGGAGAGTTCCCCACTTTGACATTGGTGAGTTGGAGTCTAGAAGTTTTGTGCTCAAACCACTGGTGTTCTATGGTTTTCTCTCACATAATTTGATCGTATCTCCATGGCGTGGGTTGAGCTTACTGGGCACATCGCCCTTGTGAGGTCCGAACACGAAGGGAGTTGGTGCAGCTGCAGGAAGAGCAGAAGGAACTTCGACTTCGATCCGAGAGGACGGGAGGAGTCTGAAAGAGACATACGTTAACCGTTGGTGTTTCTTTCTGCTGGTCATGTCGTCAATCTTTTATATTGATCTTTTTTTTCTGGTCATGTCGTGTATCCTTCTTTTCCAATGTTTGCGGTGAGGATCAGGCCATGATACAGGTCATTGCGGGTCGAATACTGGTTGCTACCGGTTGCTGAGTCTGTGTGCAAAAGCCTTTCCTTCCTCGCAGCTGCGAGGTTGAAGCAGGACCTGCGAGACCTGCGACGAGTGAATTTGGACCTGCGACGTCAACTGATGGCGCTCAAGCCTTTGGAAGTCGATGGGTTGCCAGGAGCGGTCCTTGGTGCAGACAGCTGCGGCTAGCAAATGCTAGCAGCTAGCAGATAGAGGATGCTGAGGATGTAAAACCAACTGTGCTTTTTCCCAAATCTTTACAGGTGTACCTTGCCAAACCTCTTCCTTCAATGTGTTTCATGTGTTTGCTTGCAAGGCTCCAGATGACTCCATCTCGAGCATTTCCAGGTTTCAAACATCCGATGCACCGGTCTTTGGAGTTGGATGGCAGACCAGAATACCTGGTCCTCCCACAAGACTCATAGATGAATCAGATCCAAAAGAGAGGTGAGACTGCAACGAGTGTCCTGTGGTTCTGTGGAAAAGAGTTCCAGCTTCTTGAAAAAGCATGGATGCTGGCCGCCAGGTCTTTCATTTTCCATCCAAGATTCAATGGGATTGAGCTCAGACGTATCAGAGTATGAAAGTAATCGGACACGCTGTTAGCGTAGTTGCTTACAGGTCAACATGTCACGGATACTGTAGTTAACCCTGTCTCGACATATTTAGACTGCTGTTCTGACGCCTGGTGCAGCTGTATAGAGCTCGAAAGTAAACGGTGAACTGTCCCTGCAGCCAAGCTGCCGTTCGAACATGATGGCGGTTCAGGAGATGATTTGTTCGATTTGGCTTCGCGGCTTTTCTGCCATTTCAGTCGGGCGGAAAGATGCAGAAAATGTCAAGGATCCACGGGTGCCAGTGCTGGCCACTACATCTACAGCCCTCGCAGCTGGCACAGGCTCAGGCTGGGAAATGAATATAGATGATATGGACTATCGTGACTCATTATTGTATCGAAATCTGATCAATTCTGGACGCATGTGAAGCTGCGCAACTCTGACAAAGGTCGTTCTCGACCCGTTTCTGCCCTGCGTGGCGCGCAAGTACCAAGCACGGCCGCCTCCGCAAGTGCACAGCGGGCGGCTCCGCTGGCAATGCTTGGGTTGGGGGCATGTGCTGCACTAGCTCGGCGAAAACATCGCAAAGCAGGCCAATTGGACAAGTGTCGTGGTTCCTCGGATTGAGGTTGGGATAGAACTTAGTAACTCACCCTCTCACGTTTTTTGAGTTTCAAGATCTCATGACCAGCATGCATTCCAGAACATTCCTGGGCAGGTGTCACTTCGAGGAAAGCTACAATTACCGCGAGTATGGAGACTGAACCTGCCATTGAAGAGGAGGATTGAACCTGCCATCGAAATGCTGGTTTTGCAACTACGTCTCTACGTAGCAGTTCTGATCGTTTGCTTGGTTGATCATATTTGCCAGGACGCGACTCCAGTGAAAAAGACTTCTGTGCTGGTCCTTGGGGCCACCGGAACAGTGGGACGCCAGATTGTACGGCAGCTTCTGAAGCTCAGGATGGATTATCATGGAATGACGAATGGCACATGATGTCATGCCCGCACATCGAGCAAACACTGGTTTATAAACCCGAAGCCAAACAACTCATTTGAGAAAGTGGACTGACATGTGGAGGCAGATGCTTTCTTCCTTGAAGAACGAGGTTGCGTGTTGAGTTTTTCTTCGTGTTGAGCTGCCGATCAGCGAAACAAAGTGAGGCTTTCAACCAGGAAAGACCATCAACCAGGAACCCAATAACTGAGTGACCAGCAAAAACAGCAAACAAACCAATCAAATCAAGGAGATGAACCGCCAGCTTTTGTACAAAGTAACCGGTCACTGGGCTGCCAACAGCCCTGGGCGCTTTTCGCTCAGGAATTTACCGCCTATTCTGCAACTGAATTAGTCAAGCAGCCACGACACATACCCGAGACGGCCAGTTAAGTTTGATGGTTTTCCTCCAACCTGATGGCCTCCAACATGAATGTTCTTCGTGATTTGCCAAATTTGGGCAACCCATTTCCCCGCGCGTCATCTCAGGAATGCTGGTTATTCTGTGCGTTGCATTCTGCGAAACCGCGCGGATCGGCCATTCTCATTCCTGGTAGCGCCTTTGTATGCCTTGGATGAGAAGTAGAGTGCGACATTGTGCGTCATAGTCATATATATAGTTGGATATAGTTGGATTGTTCTTGGTTCTGGTGATCAGATCCAGGATGATCAAGGTGGTTTTGCGCACGAATTAGCTCCTTGGATCTCGTTCGGGCATTCAATCCTAGGACTGGGGTGCGACTGTGGTCGAAGGTTCCTTGAAGCGACCCGCAGCTTGGCAACGTTTCCATGACTCCAAGCACTTGCGCATTAAGTGGGCAAACCAAATCGAAAGATGATATCCAAAGAGAGGTGGCAGTGCAAATTCGCTGCTATTCCTTTTACATTCTCGGTCCACCAGATGTTTGTTCTACAACATTTGCTCGCCAGCAGCACCCTGCTTGTACTGAGTGCTGGTTTGATCATCGTAGCCGGACTGAGAGAAAATAGCCAATTCTCGTGCACCCCAGCTGTGCAAATACCGTACTTCATACCGTCCAAACCAAAGAAACGCCCGTTTCCCCTCAGTTGTGTCCTGACTTCGTGGAGTGATCAAGGAGAGCCTGCCAAGCGCATTGGTGGGCATTCATACCGTCATTGATTGTGCCACTGCGCGGCCTGAGGAGGGGGGGGCGGTTGACCGGTGTATTTGGGGATGTCTTTCCATGTCCTTTTGTCCTGTGTGTTCTTGCTGCTTGCGCACGAGCCATCAAAGCTCGTGGCATTAAATTGCATAAATGCTTACTTTGACATCTTTGACAACGCTTCGTACGTACACCCCAGGAAGACATCTACGACATTGATTGGGAGGGCAAGAAGCGTCTCATCCAGTGTTGCAAACAAATGAAGATCCAGCGCTACGTTTTTTGCAGCATCAAGGACTGTGACAAATACCAGAGTGCAGCTCATCCTGAAATATGTTCTACCATGCTATGCTGTTTTGTTGTACTCTCGTGGCACGTCACGCAGGTCAGGTATGGCCACTACATGTGTCAGGATTGCTCAATCAATGTTCAAATCAGAAGTCGGCATGTTGATGGTCCGAAGTCATTTTATGGGCATCAGGTGCCACTTATGCAGATCAAGTATTTGACGGAAAAGTTTCTGCAGGAGAGTAAGCTTCTTGGCCCCTAAGACTTGCCTCACAGGGCTGGCAAAAAGGGAATCCCGCCAGTGGAAAGTCACAATGTGAAAGTGGAACAGGCGAGGTTTGTGGAGGAAACGAGGTTTCCATGCTTCAATCATCAATCGGACTAGTGTGGGTGTGAGTCGAGGATTCGGTACACTATCCTCCGGGTCAGTGGTCTCATGCAGCCGCTCATTTCACAGTATGCCGTCAGTCCCTCGGCTGATGAGTAGATTCTTGGCGCATGACAGCAAAAGCATTATTCACTGCGTTGAGGATGTTTTAACCATCGAAAGGTTCTACTCAAGCAACATGTGTTTTCATATGTTTTCATTACCGTTCTAGAATGTTTGCATGACATGTGACTTTCCAGTAAGTTTCCAGTGCTGTATTTGTCACGAAGCGTATCAATAGCTTCTTGAACGATGCAGGTGTTTTGGACGATCAGAAGGTTTGGGGAGACGACGGCAGCATGCCGGGCATTGCATACATTGACTCCCAGGATGTCTCTCGTATGATTGCGTCTGCAATGATCAAGGAGCCCACAGACATGCCCAGACATTCGTGTCCGATGTTTTTTTGTGTTGATTCCTTCAGTCCCTTCGACTTTGACTGGAAAAGAAGGTAATTAACGGCTCCTTCCTTGTGTCTCGGGGCCCTTAGGATAATATATTTTACAAAAAGAATTATGTTATTATAGAAATCTGTGTTCCGCGGCTCTTCATCCTCAGGAGCGGACCGTGGGACAGACCTTGACCGTGACCGGGCCGAAGGTTTGGTCCACCAATGACGTCATCAAGCTTTGCGAGGAGAGTCGGGGAGTCCGCCACAGTCGATGGGAATGGCCTCCCTAATAATTTAGTGTCATGCCTCCATGCCTAGTCTATTTGTTTTCTGTTTCTTGTTCAGTAACCTGTTTTAGTTAAACACAATTGTTTGTTATTGACCCCCTATTTAACAATCTTTCGCGTCGTTGCGCACAATAAATGTCTCCTTGTGTGCAAGAGTCCCATCCTGTCTCCACAGATCATGTTTACAAGAGTGTATTTTTGCAATGCTTCAAACGTATATTTTTTTTCTTTTCACTACTGCACACATCTCATCCTTTATGAATGTGTTGTTTCCTTTTGTGAGATCCTCACTCTGTACAGTATGAGAGGATTATCTCAAACCATTGTAAATGCTCAATTGTTTGCAAGAGTCTCTTTTACTCAATCATTGCAATAGTCGCTGTTCACCATAGTCTTTGTGTCCTTTTCGCCTCAATTGAGTTGTATATTGTTTCTCCTTGCGGAATTGAAGCCTTCCTACCTTCAACGATGAAGGGCATCTCCAAAACTGCCAGAAACCTTTGTGGATCGTTCCTTATTCTGGTTATTGCCTATATAAATCATCAAAATCGTTACCAAGGAATTGATTCGACGTGTCCCTGTGAATGAATTTGATCCTGCATTGTTGACTTTGGGCACGTAGCAAGTTTCGGTGACCACAGTTTTTTGAATCGGTGGCAAGAGCTTCGCTTATGCGATAAAACAAGTTACCCAAGTCCAAGCAGCAAGAGCAATTTTAATAAGCAAACTCATTGAACTATGTTGATGCGTATGCAGCATGCAGTTGTATGGGTGCTATTCGGTTTAGCAATGCATTACTTACTGTATCTCATTTGTCGTTGTTGACCTCCAGTCCATTTCAGAACGCTGGTGCCCTACATTGTATATGATTTGAAGAAGTGGTTTGGATCACCAGGATGAAGCTCAAAGTTTGAGAAACGAATTGTTTGACTTTTTTTGGCCAGCATTGAAGATCTAGCATTGGAGCACGAACAAAAAGACTGACTAACTTTGCGAAAGCACACTTTGGCTATTTTTGGCAGGGCCTCCCTGCAACAGAAAACAGGCAAGACAACATTCTTTGGAGGAAGAATTTATATGCCAATTCTGAGCAAGACATTTTGGAGCAAGTAGACGCAGCGCGCTGCAACCGGCTCTATTCCCGAAATGCTCCAAAAATTACAATCCCAGGCCAAGATTCAAGCAAAAAAACATCGTAAATCTGAACTGAAAAACTTTAAAATGCATAAGTGTCTTGCAATTGAATCTTGATTCCAGCTGCAACACGGTGCCATATGCCTTCGTCATCCTCCAACAACAAATTAAACAAAAGGAATAAGAAAAACAAAGAAGGCAGATCAAGAAGAAGCAAGATGCTCATATAGAATGTGTTTTCACACTAGAATGTGTTTTCACACATGTCACACATAAATACACATACGGTCACACACGCACTATCCTTAGATTCCATACTAATGCAGCATAATGCACCCCTGAACAACAAAAAATTCCGATCGAACATCAGTCGGGGAGTATGCCGGAATTGCCTGCCACGTGAACTTATCACAGCTGTGGGACATGGGTCCACGACAGCTATTGCTTTGGGTTTGACTGCTCCCTTCCCATTTTCCCTGCCTTCCTCACCTGGGCCCTGCTGGATTCGTCACCAACCCCTGTCAAGTAGATCCAGACGTAGCGAAGGCTACACTGTAAACATAGAATTGTAGACTCATGCGCTTGTAGACTGTAGACCTTTTCAACTAGCTATATGACTTAGAGAGGTTCTTCATTCCATTGACGGCGATACATAGGATAAGGACCATTGCAGCCTCAACCATGGCCAATTTTTCACTCGGGAGCTGCAAGGAGCTCTCTGGAAGGGATGCGGATGTGAATGTCGTGTCCAACTCGCAGATGCAGCTCGCGATGTCAGCTGCAGGCCGTGTTGACTTGACAGCTACTGAGTTCGGACCTGATTGCCTTGTCGACTTGACAGGTTTCTTTGATTGGTCGGTGGATGTGGCTGAGCGCTTGCGCTTCGTGGAGGTCACGCGATCGCCACTTGAAAGTCGTCGTTGAGCCAGCGATTGAGCCTGGACCAAGGTGAATCAGCAGGGATCGCCCGATTCCCCCATGCTGATGACAGAGGCGTGCTTGGATGCATGAGACTGAGAGACTGGCACTACACAATCAAATAGACACTCGTGAAACCTCGTCATGTGATGTCATGTGTATGTGGTGGCCCTTTGTGATGTCCAGAAAATTTCAGAAACACCCGAATGAGTGTGTTTACCAGCCCGGTCTGCACTTTCAGCAGCCAGCAACATCAAGCACTCGTCCTTTGTACCAAGTGTTGCCAAGAGTCTTCTTGGTTCACAGCTAAATAAAGCTAGGTTGGCATCATAAAATTCCATCAGCCACTGCCAGGAAACTTATCAAGCTCTCGGTCTGGAGCCGTCATCAACACGCAAGCTAGAGGAGTACATTGGCGAATACTACAGGCGGCTGCAGATGGCTTGCTGCCTTGCAGGGTGAGTTGAAGCCACTCGAGTTTTCTGTCAGGAGAGTCTTTAAAAAGCTCACGAAGGCTTGGCCCGTTGCAGCTTCGTTGCAACTCCACATTCGATGTTCCCATATTGACATGACTTGTTTGTGCGCAGGGCAAGTATGAGCCAGAGGCAGGCGAGCTCGAGAAAGAAAAGGCAGGGAAGGAATGGCTGAAAAGATGCTAAAGCTCAATCAGCCAAGGGGTGTGGTTGGGGGCTCGCCCCTGGAGGGCACGATCAGCTAACTCAGACAAATCGCCAGGCTGAGGCTGAAGCAAAGCTGAAGCAGGCTCTGTCCCAGGACAGGCTTTAATGAGCTTTCAATTTCTTTGCCACAAAGTGCTGAGCAACATGAGCAACTGCCAGGCATGCCACAAAGTGGATGAGAGGGAGAGGAATTTTGCCCAAATTGTGCTTATTAGACCTGTAGGACACAGCTGATGAATTGCCGGCTGGCCAGCCAGCAGAGGAAGAAGTGACCGTTTCTTACCAGCGTGATGTTGCAGAACGCTTGCAGAAGTTCTTCGAGGACCGATGTTTGCCTCAATTATTTGCCTATTACTTGAGACGCGTTTGATTTGTTGCCTAGATGACACTAGCTAGGACAATCAAGCCAGACAAATATGGTAGAAAGGCTGAGCACATTCAAGAGGGCGATGGAGAGAGAAGGGATACCGTAAGAAGTAATACAAACAGCGAAAGCATAGCGAGCACTGTGAATTAAACGTGAATATAGATACTTCTTGACTATCTGAAATAAAGTAACCGTGTTACTATGTCACTATGTTTGCTTGGATTCTTGTGCCCCTTGTTTGTTTGGTTTGCTATAAGGATAATGACCAAGGAAGATTGACAGAGACTCGTGTCACTTTTTTGGCTGCTAGGACAAAATTCTGACCGAGATGGAAGATGACAAGAATGCCCTTTGAGCTACAAATGTGAAATACATTCTAGAATGATGTGATTTGCAAGTGTGGAAGCCTTGAAACAAACCTCATATGAGGCATGGTTTGGCTGGGTGCCACTTGCTGAAGTGTTCAACGGACGATCTGCACCCTGGCATGGCAGAACTGCACTGTTTGTGGTTGAACGCTTCGGAACGCCTAGGCAATGGTGGGCTTCTCCCTGGGCTTGTTCACGGAATGGGCCACAGATGTCAACGTGGCCAAGCAGATTGTGCCTCAGGCTAATCAGAGCTTTCAGATACGTATCACTTCAAAGCACTGGGGCTGTGGAAAGACGGACACGTCAGCTAGCGGTGTCCAGTGGCTTGCTGGGCACATGGAACAGGCTGAGGTGTGAGAATGTGTGAGATGGGGTATGGGTTCCTATGGCTTAATCATGGGTTGTGCTTGTTAATCGGAGTTGGTGCCAATAATTGGGCTTGACAAGCTGTCCCTCAAACAGCATGGGGCATATGGAAAAACATACAAAGATGACCGTCTCCAAGACAAAGAGCTACAGTTACTGTGGGTTAAGACCTTTAGGGCGTTTGTGCTTACCATTTGCCACAGCCTTTGTGAATTTGCTTACAGTAGCTCGTGCCCCTAGCGACAACATGCCCCTCATGGCCCCAACAGCGACTCAGGATTTGGTTTTGGCCATTTTCTCACCACCATCCTGAGAGAGCTTCATCAATGTGAGGTTCAACAAGAGATGTTTAGAGCCTCACTGTTCTCAGCAGGGGAATTTGAGACCTCAACAAATGTCCTGCCGCAATCGATTTGACTGTTTAAAGTAGACTTTTCACAGCTAGTGAGCTGGCAAGCATGGAGAGAGATTTGAACACTTGAAAACACCCATGCAAACAACGGGCTGCTGTCAGCCTCCTACACCCAGCTATTGAAGGACATTCTGAACCCACAATGTGGGGACATTGTTTTCAGAGAACGGACTGGCTTGCTGCTCCATAGTGTCATTTTCGGACTTGGTGAACCGGTTCTCCCAACGCATAGCCCTGTGCCCTGATTGAGCACTTCAAACAGCCTCAAAGCAATAGACCTGGCCAGGGATATGTGTGGCTGGCTTATTCGTGACTCAGGAAGGGGTTGACCAGTCGTGACAGGCTTGATTTGCGAACAGCACTTCGTAGCTACAAGAGATTTCTGGACTTCCAAACATCGCACCCCTTCACAAGACAATTTTCAGTTGACCCGTAGTGTGGATGCAAAAGAGCTATGCGAGCTTTGCTTCGGCCGCAATGATGCAACATGGTGGCCTCTCCCATTTCCTTCGGCAGCTTGTCATCCTCAGGCTTCGGGTCATTGTGCTGTAGATTGAAGGACCCATGAATGCCGTCACAAGTTCTCTAAAAAGACAATTTCGGTGAGACTTGACTTGAGTGATGTGACTGCAGCTTTTGCGAGCGAGTGCTACCAGTGACCAGCACAATCGATGGCGACATGTGTTTGCAGCTTTTTTGAAGTCATACACTGGTCCACAATTTCCACGGATTTGGACAGACTAGGCTGCACTCACTGCAACTAGCTGAATGCATTGCATCAGGATGGGTTTGACAACACCAACGAACACCACCAGACAAGTCTTGCAGTGCCTTTCCCTGGCCACTTCTCTCGCAATGGCGCACGACCGGGGGTCAGTGGCTCGCCGTGGCCGCGCTGCACTTGGAGCAGACGAGCAGTCACGGCGGCAGCCAGGTGGATCCAATCATTTTGGGAGGGGCTTCCGAACAAATTGTGTTGGAGGAACAGAATGCCAATGGATTTGTCAATAGGCTTCAAAGGCACAGACCAACCGAAAGCCAATGTGTACTTGTTAGAAAGGGTTTGGTCACGTGTCCATTGGCTTGCAGGAGTGAAGACTGGCGAACTTCCGTCGCAAGGGACGCAAGCTCGCCCAAGGGACGCCTCTATTGCTGCCTTGCTTTGTAGCCTCACTGCCATTCTCATGGGCCCGGAGCCCCTGACGAATGATTGACCGAGACGCATGCGTTGGAGTGGAGGACAAAGGTGAAGCAATGCAATGAGCGTCAGAATGTGTCAGGCTTTGCCGATTTTTCACGAGTCATCCCTGCAAAATATGCCAATATGCTCAATGACGATATTAAATTACTACATTACTAAGCAATTATTATACCTCCCCCTCCCCACTCCCTTTGTTGCAAACAATTGAAGGAAATTCAAGCAATTAGCAGCAGCAGCGGCGGCGACGGGGTGGTGGTAGCAGTAGTAATGGTGGTATAGTGGTATTAGTGGTAGTGGTAGCTTTAGCAGCGGGAGCCGCAGCAGGAGGAGTAGCAGCAGCAGCAGTAGCAGCGGCAATTCCCAGTAGCTGGGATTTTAAAGGGGAGCGCCAGCTGAGCAATAGAAAACTGATTAAGCTCAGACTTTTCCCAGTGCTCCAACTTTATTCCCACCGCTAGACAACTCATTAATTCACTTCCCACGGGCTTGTGCACGGTTTGAAGCAATGATTTCGATAAGTTTTTTGCCAGTGTTCTTGAAAAAGGTTTTCAGATCAGAGTTCCAGGAACCAAGAACCAGGTGAAACCTGAGAGGAGATTACACAAGGCTCTTACAGGGAAGCAATAGTCAAAAAAATGATCTAGGTGGCAATTCCGACCCAACTATTCCGGGCTGGGAAAGTTTTCGGGAAGGCTTGTACTACTTTCTTCATTCCTGGAATGTTTAGGACCCAACATTAAGGGATAGGGATAGACAACTCAGAGATATACATGCACCTATATATACTTATGCATGTTGCATGTGTATTTGTCAGTTGGCCAAATACTAATGTTACAGTTGAACCAGCCGATTGAGAAGCACACCCAGTGTCGTTGTTGAACGAGTTTCAGGCGCAAGTTTGATCGTCAGATTTGTTTGTTCATAATCACTGGTGAATGTGCAATGTATGGCATGCGTTAAAAGTATGTATATATATAATTAATAGTTGGGTTGGGCTTATTTTTGGTTCCCCAAAGAAAACAACGAAGTTAAACCAGGGAATCACAGAGAAATTGAATGGAAACAAGGGCAAAGCAACATGAAATCAACATGAACACATGGAGGCCCCCCCCAAGATCAACTTGCACTGAGGCATAGCGATATTCAGAGTGCACAGCTCAGACTTCACAAAATGCATTGCACTGTGACTTCAGATTGCTGTTCGACATTTCAGTTCACGTCACAACTTAGGTCACAGGGACCAATTTGCTGTTTCTTGGTGGTGCTGCTGCAGAGTTTCTTTTAATGTTCATGCCCTGCAGAGGCAAAGAGATCAAGAGCAGCTGAAGTCAAATCGAGTTGCTTGCACACTTTATTGAATCTTTCACATTGAGAGATTATAATTGAATATAATTGCATATAATGTAGGTCCTGCAAATTTATGTGTACGTGATTAGACTTGAGGGGCCGAGACAAAACTGAATAGCAGCTGCTGCGATGCCACATTGCACCTGGTTGGCCCGATTGCTTTGGGCAGACTTTGAGCTTTCGTCACAAGAAGCCTTTGAACCTATATACAATGGTTTCCGCGTAGATGGTGCAATCCCCAAAAGATCCAAAAGGTGGTTGATAAGGATCCCATATAAAAGATATTTTTGGGTCTGAGCTATTTATTCTGAGACCACTGTATCCTTCTGATGAGTCTAGTTAAGTTCAAACTCACAGGCCCACCAGCACTGGGCATTCTTTTGGCTGCGCTTGGGGACAGGCTTGCGGATTGCACATGGTGCGGAATCAACATGATGTTGCATTATGTTGTGTCAAATGTGTTTCGTGAGCATTGCAAATTCTGCTGTCACCAAAGAAGAGACAACGAGCAAATATAGATGGCGAGGTTCGTGCGCCAGTAGTCCCTTCCTGTCAAAACCCAACACAAGCGACCACACGCTATATATGTTAAGTATCATATGCTGCCTACACGAGGATGTCACGAGCTCGTAGATGTCGCAGGTTTTTCCCTCAGTGATGCCTCCAGGCTGCCAAGAGGCATGCAACTTCAACTGATGGGCTATTGTTTCGTGGCCCTCACGGGCTTTACGGCTTTCTCCTGGGCGTTTAGTTGGCTTGCCGCAGAGATGCTTGGTGTTGCTCGAGAGGCGCTCTCAGGATAGTTCGAAGTTTTTTAGTTAAAGTGAATCCTTTAATGCCATGTGGTCAGAGAAAGACCCACGGTTGGCCTTGACATGTGTGTCGTCTAAGCGCTTGCCCTCTCAATCCCAAAGACGCTGCACCCTGGTAGTGACTCTGGTAGTGCATGCGACGGATGGGTTGCTTTTGGTGCCTTTATGTGCTTCGTAACTGCCAAGCTTTCACAAGAGTCAGGACATTGAAAATAGCTACCTGTGGTTATTATGCTCCATTCAGAAGCCTTATGCTTGTCATTGTTGGTGCAGCAGGTGGTTGCTGTCTTCCTCAGTGCCAGTTGCTTGATGCTGACAGTTCACTGGGCTAGCAATTTCGCACAGAAGGCCGGACATGCAAGTCATCACATGCTGTTGGTTGAATATAGCCGATACAGAATTGTTCATCTCACAATGGCTCGGCTTTGCTATAGAACATGAGATGCTAGTGGACCAGCTTGTTATTGTGCTCGTGACATTGCAAGGGACATTTATCGAACAAGGTGACATTGTTGTGGTGCTCTGGCGCCCAGAGAACAGACGCCAAAGATGCGGGGAGCACGGCCTTTGGGCTGCAGCTACGAAGCTTGCGGGACTGAATTTGTTTTATTTTATGAGTTCCTTAGACAGTTGTTAATCACATTGTTGATGTAATCTAGATACTTGCCCCGGCCTGTGGCAGACTTCAGATATCTTCAGATGATGGCACGTGCGAGTGGTAAGTGTTTGACTTCAGCTGAGGCTTCACATGCAAAGCTTCAAGACGAGCTTGTGCAGTTACAAGAGCTTTGGTTGACAATTCATCAAAGCAACCAACCCATGAGGGTGAAGGTGAAGTGTGTAAGAACACCACTTATATACAACATGTTTCAACAACATGCGAAGTGTTTTTGGTAACGTGCTTGAATTTGGGTTTGTGGCGCTCACAAAGTTGTTCCAAGCCATCCGCCTGCTGCTTTGGGATCACTGGACCACAAATCTCAGGCAGAACTGGAGCAGGTGAGTGCAGTTGCCACTCGTGCGATGCAAGGATCGAAGCTTGACTAATCTGGTTTGGCTAGAATCGCATCATGACATGATGTCAACCGATTGTCAGTGGAATAGTAGTGAGATGTTTGCCGACTTTGTGTTGATTTGTTCAAACATGTATGTTCAAACATTTATGTTCAAACATTGTATGCGACAGTACTCGCAATATTGTTTCCTTTATTGATTGTGCCCATTGTGCCTCCTTAGCGTCCAGTTTGTTTAATTTTGTCCATCAAGAGCCGTCAAATCTCTTTGCGACAGCGACGCTGGCTTCAAACTTATGACAGAACTACTATTCAAGGATACATTGTGGTGGTCTCTAAAATTCCATGTGTATATAGGGATCACTGTTAGGTTGGAGGCCATCGCTATTAGAGACTGTCATGCCGTCCCCCGGGACGGTCATTGGGTCGTTTCCAGACGGTCATTGTTGTGAATTGGTGGTCGATGTAGCAGTCTTGAACATGAGATTAGCCAGTACTACTTGTGACTAGTTTGTCTACTATTTTGGTCTTTATGCAGAAGTATCATGTGGGCCCTGATGTATAGGGTCTCCGCCGCAATGTGAAGCATACCACGGCAATTTGCAGCATATCCAGAGCTACTGCTCAAGGGACCACAAAATGGGAGTTGTGGTTGGGCCCGAGCTGTGGTTTGATCGCACGCATTCGCCTGCATGCTGCACGTTTAGGTCATTATATTGAAACATCCACCGCGAAGATTTTCCCTCACTAACAACCCTTCAAACATGACTAGCATCAACAAGAGCGGAAGTAGTGCCTGAGGATTTTGTGCAAGATTTGCTATGAACAGGAAGCTACTTGGTGATAAGAGTGATTCCATCTCTGACTATTTTTGTTGGGAAGAGTGTGTGCGTGTGTGTGTGTGTGTCATTTGCTTTCCATACGTCATTCCAGAGTCATGTTAATTTTGCAGTTGCTTGGTTGCTTTAGCAGGACTGCTTCACATCAATTTATATGCATCTTTGTATGGCTCCACTGTTTGCCGCAGCCTTCAGGACATAAACTGAATCATGGAGATAGCCTGCCGGGATCAACAGTCCAAACAGAATGAGGTTTGCAGATTCTCAGAGAGTTGCTGTTCGGCTGACATTCTCAGTTCTTACTCCAATCAACAGATAGCTAGACAAAAAGATCAAACAAGACCCCGAAGGAACCATGAAATGAAGTTGCAGCTTGTGCCTTTGATGAACCGAGCAAGTTAAACGAAAACCTCTCTTGTTTTGGAGATATTGCATTTACACCTGGATTGGCCATGGAAGCTGGCCATCGTACCCGATGGGATGGTACGTACTTCTTTGGCTGCTTCTTGGGCATGCCAAAGCTCAGCTGACACAGCTCCTCTCAGACTGCTTGTTTTTGCGTGGCGAGGGCAGGTGCGAGGATCTGGTGCAGCGGGGCTACGCTTTGCCAGGCGGGAACTGAAAGGATCCGAAAGGGTTGCCATGTCAAAGAGGCGCTCACCAATTTGCATGAGCCAGGTAGAATTGTTCTGGCTCAATACCCACAGGTAGATACTGATTTGTTTTCTTTTCGGTAGCCTTATCGGCTCCCAGCTGTTTACCCAAAACCTGTGTGGAAGGGAACCGTGCTTCCTCATGAACAGAATAGAGTTCGAAAGAGCAACCCCAGACGATATGTCAAGGAGCTAGGAACACATGCCCAATCAAAGTTGCTTGCCAGCCCTGCGGGCGGCATGGCATGGTTTGTTCCATTGCAATTTTGCTTGTGAACAGACTGCAACCCTGCCAGGTGAACTAGATGTTGCCTTCAAGCTTTGCCCCGGCTCAGAGATCCTGCAAGCACATAATAGTTTTCCTGTTGCAGTGAAACTGTCATTGTCACATGATGGCATGTACTTTGCTCACGTGGGCCATCTCCGGCCGGGCTGGTCAAGCTGGCAGTTTCGTGCCAATTACGTTCGAGTTGAGTGGACAAAAATCAAGGAGCTCCAAACCCAAGCACCACGAGGAACCCTGGCTTTCTTTGGGCAACCATGCGGTGACGGCAATTTAACTCTTCCGAAAGGTCAGTGGCATTTGCCTCGAGTGGTGGCGCGGCCCAAAGGCTGCTTCTCCACAGCGCTTTCGGAACGGTGCTGTCATCCTTTAAGACCGCAATGCTGGGGTCACAATGCTCTCTTGGCCTTTGCATGCTGCGCGGTCCCTTACAAGCAAGCTGGTTTGTCAACCTGCTTGGTCTCGAACGCCAAATTCCCAAACGCCAATCAGGACTGCAGAGGACATCCCCTCAACTTTTTTCGCTCCTTCCAAGATGGAAATGAGCTGAGACTGGTGGTGGGAGGCCGTTTGTCTCAACAGCCATTTCAGGCGATCAATGCATCTTTGTCAACTGGCTGCCTTTTCCAAAGCATACTCTATCTGTTCCACGAGCTCCATCACTTGAGCCGTGATGCACAGTTTCTGGAAGCAATCTCCCCTCTACAGCTTTACTCTTACGCTCGACTCTTTCAGGCAGGGCCTCCACAACATGGAGTTATTATATAGTGCTGTTGTATTAAGTTATTTCTGGATGTTTATGTATGGAACAGTAGTTGTCAAAGTTTGCCCTTATGGGAACTGCCTATCAGGAAATGATGTTTGCCTGCGACCTGGAGGAGGTTCAGTTTTTTGAGCTGGCAGGGCTTTTGCCCACACAGATGCTTTATTTGGTGTGGCTCACAACGGGGAGGTGGGAAGTCAGAAATCAAACTGGTTGGACCTATACGATATATCTCTTCCACCTATAAAAGGCACGCCCCCCCAATAGAAAAACTATGAAAAACTCCGTCGTCGTTTTTGCTATTAGCGCGAACCCGCAACGATGGAATCCTGGGAAGAGCTTCAAAACCGAAACGTCGCCTAGGAATGTATTGTTCAACATGTTTTTTTTAAACAATATACATATTTTATATATATAACATCTTTTTTCAAGCCCTTTTCCCTTTACAAAACCCTCTATATTCCTGATACGTTTTGGTTGGAATCTTATCATCAGACTAACAACTAAAGATGTTGAACGGTGCTGTCGCATGCGGTTTGTGTGGCTTCGTGCCATTGTGGAAGGGTGCACATGCGTGTGTGAATACGGCGGCATGTCGCTAGTGAGGGGCACCATTGGTGGTGATTCTTTAGTGGGCGGGTACTTAATTGAAGCAAGCTCCCACCAAGACAACCTTGTGTGTTGGTTAGGAGTAGTTTAAGATGGCGGTATTTTTTAAACAAACACAGCCTGTATTTAGGGGTCTCCGACATCAATGGAATGCATTGTTCTAATCCAAACACGCTCATTCCGAGTAGCTGTTTCAATTCTATGTTTTTTTAGATGTAAACAAGAGGAAAGGATGTGAAGTAGTTGCCTTACTCAAGTGCACCTTTGAGAAGCAGAGCGCATGTCATCTGAAACCTTCCCACATGTTTATTTCTCATACAGCTATATACTATTCTTTTACACAACCTAGGCCCTGTTCCACGGGCAGCACAAAATGTTTTTCTGCAAAGGCCACAACTTCCATCCAGCCTTTGGCTCCCCAGGCGCACTGGACTTCTTAGTCACACAGCACCACTACCCAACTGAAACCAGTATCTACAAACGGGCACGCTTCAAAGGGTGCTCTTGAACTGCAGCGTTTGCTTCTGCGATCGAACTCTTTTGGATCTCTGTCAAGGAGGAATACCAGTCCCACGCAAAGGCTTGAACTCCAAGCAACGCAGCCTCACGGGATCTCAAAGTTGGGCGCTTGTTCCCATCTTTGCTCTGAGGATCTGCAAAGCTCAAACATTTGGACTTCTTGCCCAAATGCAAGAATCCAGTCGGCAAATAGACTTGGACAAAGGGGGAGGCTCCCTGCGGACTGCCGAAGTAGCTCTTGACTCCTGGCGGAAAGCTCCCCTGCGGTCGCCCGCGGGGAACATGCGGCGCATGCGTTCCATCTGCGTCAGGACCTCACAGTGTTGAACCGTGTTTAACAGTTGCACACAAAAGGGAGAAAGAGGTGGAACAATGGAAGGATATATATATATATAATGATATATATATATATAACTATCAATGATAATCTTCACTCGGCAGTCTTCAAAGTCATCCCAGTAACGGAAGCAGCATCGGCAGCTGGGTCCTTTCTAGTCTCTCCCTCAAGCTCGGCAACACTCTCAGTGGATTTCTTTTCACTGACCGCTGGTTCAACCTGCTGACCATCACCTTCAGCATCGTCAGGTGTTTTCGAACCCAACAAGAAGTCAACAATCTCGTTCATTTCCTCGTCTTCAGACTGCCCCTCTAAGCGGTCTTCTTCCTCACGAAACAACAGAATACTTCAAAAAATATGATTCCCCTCTCCAACTGGCATAATAAATCAGCGTTCGGTGAAACAGTTTGACGCTTCAAACACAGAGCCCGAATGAGGTCAATGATCAAGTCCCAAACATCGGACCGGGTCATAGTCACTTGACTTAAGGTCACTAGTGAGAGACAGAGGTCTTCCAAAAGCATGCCAAAAACAGTCTGACTCAGACGGTCTTGTGAACAACCAGTTAGACAAAAGGTACTATGTGGGCGCCGTGGGCGTGGGAAAAACATCGGCTGTGGGTAGGGATCCGAGAGGTGCCTGCAGACTCGCTTTTGTCTAGCCTTCATGAACCTAAATTGTTCCCTTTTGCGTGTACTTTCATTTTACTCAGGGCAAGATGAAACACGGAGATAACAAGTCCAGTGAAGTTCAGGAGTAGAGAAGAAATGAATAGTGTAAAAATGGGGAATCTATGAAGGCGTTCCCAGCCGAGGCTAGACATGTAAGTCTTGAATGGCCTTGAAACCCCACTGCCCACCGCGAAGCAAAATGTCTAAACATAGTATTCGGGAAGCGGCACAAGCCTGAAGCAGCAGGTTGAAACAACGTGGTCAGGGGCGGGTTAAGCATGGCCGCCTCACAAAGAAGGAACATTAAAAGAACAAACATATAAACTATCATTACTTATGGTTCTGCTCACAACGTGAATGCCAACAACACTTGGGTGTGTGTATGTTTACCGTAGTGGGGCCGGGAAGCTTGAGTAGGTGGTATATGGTTCGAGAGTATGATTGTCAGCTTTGAATTGTGTTGTTGGATTGACTGGACTTCCAGCGATGGGCCCACATCCTGCGCCGTGAGGCAGTAGGCAAGCAGTATCTGTTGGTTGCTGGGCAGACCAAGCAATTGCACTCTTCTACCAAAGACACCAAACCTCACCAAATGCCAAAGGCACCACCCTTTTGACTACAGTGCACACCAGTGGCCCTCTGCATGCCCCACCAAAGCAATCAGGGATGTGGATGGGTGGGAGTGTGTGGAGGCCAGAGATTTGGTATGAATCTGGTTTGATTCGGTATGGCCATGAAATTCTGCTGGATTTGTTTGCAATCAATCAAAACATTTGAATCACACTCAGCCCGTCTACTTTCCCGCTTTCAACCAATGCCCCTGAAGTAACAACAGTATCCTTGAGATGCTTGCTTGGTAGCATCGAACATCATCGAACCCTGTTTCATTTCATGACACACCTGCCAGACACCTTTGTAGCCTTGGTCTTCGGGAGATTCTGTGGCTGCTTCGGTAGAACACCTCGCAAGGCAACATCAATGGCCTTCAGCATTTTCAGGCCAGGCCATGTACCTTGGAAAGAAAGCCGCTTTGAGCATATACATCCGTATATGCCTAAATCGATGCACACCGATAGGCAATCTGCTTGCTGAAGAAACTGGCGAATAGTGGATTCCCACTTAAACAGTAGGCTGGAGGTTGGGTTTTCCAACACCCAGAACAGTCCCAGCCAAATAATCAATGGGATGATGAGCGTGCCCAAAAGTTCAGCAACTGCGTTTCCAGCCACAACCGCTGGGCATCCGCTATAGCCAGTCAGAGCCTGAGCGCTCACGGGCACATCTTTGTCAAGTCCCCATTTGTAAACATCATCGACAGATAGCGAGAACGACAGCAGAAACTCGTGGCCAAGGGTGCCCGCAACTAGCATCAATCGAAATACTATTGAGTTGGTGTCCACAATGTAATATTATTGAGTGATTGTATGGCCAAGTCGCCAAGCCACGAAGCGATGAGCCCCTGCTGATCCACACCCATGATCCGCAAGTAGGCATCAAAAACACTGGGGAACCTGGTCGAAAGAACGCGTTGGCCACTCCAGTGTGCAGACTTTTCAGTTAATTCAACTCTCGCAAACTTGATGTTCAAGATCAGACTAGGTGTAACTACCCATCATACATCAGCAGAAACAAAATGTGTTGATGTCAACCTCAATGAGTATGAAGGACCAGGTTGTTGTCCCACATGTAACCTCTCCGCACAACCGCGTCAGTGCGAGCCTGGTTTGGTCTCGGCCAACCCCTTGACTATTTCCATGAGTCTAGCACGCGTGTGGACATTGTGACCCTCGGACAGTCCTGGCATGGGATCTGAAGTAACTTGCAACTTCACTTGGATGGGCAACCTACCACTTGGGAGAAAACATCTCAAACCTAAAAGAAATAAGGCCGTAGCTCGATTTAAGCCATGGGGCTGACGTCGAAAGCTTTGCTCTCACCAAAGCCTGCCACCTTAAAGCCATTGCCAAAGCTGTTGCTGGCACCGAACAGTTCAATCATTTGCAGCCATGGCTTGGATGCACTCCGCACATCAGTGGCCACCTGCTTTGCCTCTTCCAGAGACATAGCAGGTGGCCGGACTTTAGACGATAGCCTCTCCATCTTGGGCCGACGTTTGCAATTGAGACTTCATCTAAAACAAGACCCTGAGAACGATCGTCACGTGACATGCGTTTGGTTGAAGAGAATGCGCGATCACAGTTTAGAATTGTCATGTGCTGCCTTGTCTTCTATGATTACGTATTCCGTCATTGACATGTAGATAGATATATAAATATATATACATATGATAGTTACTCAACGCAGCCAAAGAGAGTGGGTGCTATAATGACGAGAAAACCCTGCGTGCAATGGGTGTTCCATTGTTGAATCACATGTTGTTTGGGTGAGTGAGAAGGTTCTTATCGATTCGCAAGATCAGTCCGTGCTGTGCATAAAACTCCACAACTTTGCAAGACGTTCCTTTCATTATTTCAAAGGCGCTATGACTGGCTTCTGGATACAGTACCACGACCTCCTCGGTTGTTGATCATTGACATTGGCACTGCTGGAGGTTTGGAAGCTCGGCCTGATGATTCAATCATCACAACATCACAGTTCCCTCACGATCACATTCTGAGGACACTGCATTGTACTTAGCCTTGGGCGCAGATGTGGTGTCCGTGGAGGCAAGGTCTGAACATAAAAGTTGGGGATTTTGAGAGGTGTCATTTCTTTCTCAAATTCAGAGAGTTTCTTGAATTGTTGGCCAGCAAGGCCTGCTGTTCTGTGCTTCCGTTGCTTGCCAGGCCAATCCGCTTGCAAGCAACTGCACGAGTAGCCGCTTGACGCGGCATTTGCGGAGTAGAAAGCTGAGATTGCTCAATGCCAAGATCAGCACAGGTGCGGTTGATGAAAACTATCGTGCAACGCTGCACAAACAATGCGTAAGCTCTAGGTTCGTCTAAGTCTAAGTCACTTTGGCACAACTTCCGGCAGCCCCTTCAATCTACTTGAAAAACCTTTGAAAAGGTATAATATGTTTATGATTTGCAGCTCTTTGGAATGAACGTGCTGGGTCCTGTACCTTTCAACATTCATACCCATCGCTCCTCGCCCTCTCCATAGATATCACATTGTATACTGTAATATATTAGCCTCACTTTCCTTGACTTTATGTAACTTCATTCGGTCATCAATGGGATGTTGCCTGGCAGGTGTGGGACGTGAGGTTTTCCTGGGGTCATCGCATGCTTTGGACTTCGAGCGAGCTGGAGAGACAGAGCTGCCGAGATATGATGCAAACAGGCCGCTTCTCCAAACGTCTTTGGAACGTTTTGATGTTTTATGCCACTCTGAAACGTCAAGTTCACTTTAACCGAAGAGCGATGGCCTCCAAACTAAGAGCGATGGCCTCCAACGGAACGTTTTGATGTTTATTGCCACTCTGAAACATCGAGTTCAGTTTAACCCCTAGTAGCTTCTTGTTCCTTGTAATTAGTAAGAATGCTACTAGCAGTATGGCCAGGAGCCCCTAATAGCGTCCTTGCTCCTAGTAGTAAGGCCAGGAACCCCTAGTGGCTTCTTGCTACTGGTAGCAAGAATGCCACTTTGAAACATCGAGTTCTTTCCCAACTAGTCAGCCTCCCCCCACATTGCTTTCCTGACTTGCCCTGGTTGCACTTGGGGGAGCTGGCGGGTATGCTGTCAGGTTTTGACTCTCTCCCATTGACTTGTTGTTGTGCCAATGCCCCTTTTTAATGGCAGCCTTAGCAACTTGGAATTTCCAAGCCATGCTCAGGTATGAGAACCGTGTTCACTTGCACACTACCAGCTGTGGAGATCTAGTCGCCACGTATGGCACCCCATTCTACATGAAGGTGGATGTGGAGGATAGGATCCATTTTTGACGCTCAGTCCTGTCCGGTGCAGTTCTTCCGCGAAATGCAAGACAATACAACAATGTGCAACACGATGTATATGCAGTACATATAAGTACTTATTGCAGATATATAACTACATATAGTTGGTCCATTAGTCCATTTCACTGTCCAACTGCAGGCCCACCAGCAAGGGCATACGGCTGATTGATCGAAAACGCACATTCGGCGCATGTTTGGACGGTTCGTTTTGAGTCGGAAGCCACTTCCGCTCCAGGATGCCACAAAGACTTGCCTCGACTCCTTAGTGCGATTGCCTTTGGAAGCACGGCCCGCGTTAATTTCTGCCGAGAGCCTTGGCAAAGAACTTGGAAACTGCAAGTGGTGGATCGAACATTCTATAATACCACGCCAGAGCGCCATAAATTGATTCAGGAGTTGAACTTGAGAGGGGCACAGCACAGCTGATTGAGCCAAGAGAGACCCTTGCAGCCTTGCAGCTGTAGCGCGGGTGGTACTGTAAGGATGGAGGACCAGACAATCCTGCAACGCTTGCTGGCTCTGGGGTACCGAAGCTTCAAAATTGTGCGTCAGTCACCACACAGTGGGGTGAACCTTGGCGACGATTCATCAACAGAAGGACTGTGCACTGTGTACTGCCCAGCATGAAGTGTTCCAAACGTGCTCGGCATAGGAAGTGTTCTCGTGAAGTGTTTCCATCTTCCTTTTGAGTGCGATTGAGTCGTGCTGAGGAGAAGCCTGGCAAGTCCAGGATGTGCTCTCCATGGTGCGCCCCAGCTGATTGAGAGTGCCAGTGGCCTTTTTGGCGATGCTGCTGCCGATGTTCTAACAGGCTGGATAGCAGAGCAGGTCCTTGCACTGCGAACACATTCATGATAGGAGGGGCCGCATTTGCACGTGTCCAGACTTGGCTCAAGTAAGCAACCCTGCATGAAGACATACTGTATACAGTATACTAGTATACATAATATGATTTACTGTACATTGATTTACACAAATGCATATGTGTTTTCTTCGAATGGATTCAGGTGAGTCAGTCATTTTGCACGCCTGACTTCGGGTATTGAATAAAATTGAATTGCATAAACGTACTGCAATTGTGATGGCCATGACATGCCGCATTGGAGCACAAGAGATGACTGTTGGTCCTGGAAACGAAGTGCAACTGATGAGCCCGGCGAATGGCCTGTCACAGAAAGGTTTGCAAGAGCGCCTCCACGAAGAAGGGTTTTTATATTTGAAAGAGGTGCTGCCAAAGAACTTGGTTCTTGCTGCCCGGAATGCCGTACTGGCCAGTTTGGAATCATTGGGAGTAGTGCTTCAGGGGGAGAACGGGAAGCTCAACCCCAATTCCAGCTGGGAGACTGATCAGGGTGCAGTCCCTCCATCACTGGCTCGATGTCCTGAGATGCTTGCATTGGTTGAGAGCGACGCTTTGAGAGGGCTAATGGAAGAAATCTTGAATGACAAGGCGCAGACCTTGGATCACAAGTGGCTCCGGGCTGTGGGAAAGGGAGAGAATAGTGGATTTCATACGGACTCGGTGTACTTGAACCAGGGAAGCAGAGAAGCATTGACGTGCTGGATACCTTTGGGGGATGTGGACCTCCGTTTGGGTGGCCTTTGTGTGGTCAAAAATTCCCATCGCGATGTGCGTTACGAGAGGGTGAGAGAGACCTATTCCAACATTGACGTTGACACTGCTGGGATTCACGGGACTGGATGGTTCACAGAGGATGCTCGTGAAATTTTGTCCTATGGTTGTCCCTTGTTGACGGCATCGTTCAAGATGACAGACATTGTCATCTTCCGATTAGATACCATGCACGGATCTTTGTCCAACGGCAGTGATCCGGCGGAGGTGCGAATCTCTTGCGATGCACGGTGGTATGCAGCGAAGGATGTCGTTGATGCTAGGTACATGGGTGAGGATCCAGTGGGAACAGCCACATGGTGGGCGAGCCGCCACAATGAAAAAATATTTCCAACTTCCATGGAGGAAGCAAAGCGAGCATGGGGACTTGTGAAATTTTGAGCCTCTTGACTTGACGCGTCTTGCTTTTGAATGAGAGCACTTCCGCGACTTCTCATCCGTTCATGGCCGCAAGCAAAAAGAGAGGAGTTAAACTGTACTCGTAATACTCGTACACCAAGTGATACCAAGTGCAGATGTTTGTTTCAATTGTTTCCGGTAGTCCTTGCCTTGGAGAGGTGCTACCTGGACTTCCTTCGAAGAGGCGCTTGATGTCTATCTATCTGTTGTTGATCAACCTGTGAGACAAGCTGTGGCCTCGTGGTTTCCATCTGCAGCCTCTGAATGGTTTGATGTTCATGCTCGCCGTGAGAAACCGCAAAAGTCTGCACCGCAAGGGATGAAGGGGCAGAAGCCATGACTCATGATTCCTTCGGTTTTCCCACAATTTGCCGCACGTTCTTTCAGACTGAGTTTCTAAAAGGGTGGAACTCTTATTTGATCTTATTTGATTTCCTTTGGCACATATTTGCCCGCTCGCTGCAGTTGCAGTTGCACATTCAGCCTCGGGGGCTTAGGTTGGCTGCGCCTTAAAGCCTTGTCGTCATCATGCCTTCTGTGTTGCTTGTGCACAGCGCTTGGTGGACTCCGGGCAGCGATGCCCGCCTCATGGCGAAACTTCAGTGTGCGACAGTTTGTTTCAACAGGTAGCAAATTGAGAGAATTGCGATACACGAAAGCGAGCTCAGAAGGAGCTCAGCGGAAGTTGTTGTGAACGAAATTACGAAAGGCCAAAGATTGAAAGGTTCAGTGAACCAATTGATTCTTTCAATCAAAGGGAGGGGTCAGCGGAGGGGGGGTTGCTCTTGTCAAGAAATTAATGTTTTTCACAAGATGTTATAGGCTTTTTGTGCACATGTTCATCATCGTCGTCGCAGTCGTGTTCGTTCCCCGCCTCTCAAATTGATACATATTGATAGGAAACAACTTGTCAATCAATTGAGGATTTGCCGGCAACCTGTGAATGGCCTATCTAGAACATATACGTCGTGAAAATATACAAATATATAATTACGTTATATAATATATATTCATTTTAAAAAATGTTTTATAGAATATGAATTAATTATATATAATATAATATAATTAAATTAAATATATATTAAATTATTGATTATTAAAAAATCATTTTGATATGGAAAAGATTTGGTATTGAATAATTTATTTTTTAAAATTATATATTATATTATATTATATAATAGATATATAATATATTATTAATTTTGGAATTTTGAATCTTTATATATTTATATGTTTATTTTATATCTAAATGAATAATTCGATTATTTGGGAATTTATATTGATTATTTTATTTGATTCGGAATATAGATTATATCTATTTATATCTATTATTTATTTGGATTATTTATTGATTTATATAATATGTTAGTAAATATTGGAATTGTAATTTAATTGAATTATAATGATGGTTGTTATTTATATATATTTTTGATTTTATATATAAATAAATTAAATTCTTGATAATAATTTTATATTATTTAATATATATTGGATAATATATATTATTGGATTCGACCTTGATTTTTCGAGAAGTTCGAATTCTAATTTTTTATATATTTGGGTAATATGTTGTCGAATATCTTCGTACGCACGAACCCCCTATCGGTCTAGGAGATAATTTGGATATTACTATTCTATTAGATCGTCTAGATTTAGCAATTCCTCGGCTTCGTCGTTGTAGGATGATATAATCCAAATATTATATTGATTAGATTTTATTTCCGATAGGGAGACTAATTGAATTAAGTAGAATTCGGTCGTTCACGTGGGATATTCTTTGAATGCGGATAAGGCAATTTGATGCCATTGATATTATAGATCTCCAAGGATTGGCATGCTAAATTTTAGGTCGATGGAGTGAACCAGCCGCTGAGGTCTTTTCTTTTTAGGATTATTGGGGGAATTAATCCGTCGCATACAATTCTTGCAACTAGAGATTGCCGAAGACGCCTTTGTTCAGGGATTCTGTTGGAAATAGATCCTTATTAATACGAATCCTGGAATTTCATGAATTGGGATCAAAAAGATTAGTGCCACCTTCCCAACAAGCCAGATTCATTGAATTCGACGGCGCTGCACGAAATGTTGCAGGCCATGGTGCACCTATCCCAGAGCCTGGATATCATTCATTATTTTGTAGCCATGAATCCCCTGCCCAAGGACAAAGAGACGGACGACGATATCATTTCGATTCCTTGGAGATTCGATTTGTCGGTTAGGAGAGCCACGATATGTACAAGATGGTTTCTCAACTCTGTGGGAACGATATTATGCAATTGATCTTGATGAAATACCGGACCACGAGTTTGCAGCGCAGTCCACCACGAGTTTGCAGCGCAGTCCATTGGCCGCGGCAGTGGTCCAGCGGCTCCGGAAATGATTTGCCGCCTGGCCCATTTGCGCCTCCGCGATCCGGATAACCAGTGTTACATCGTGATTGCGTTACGCTCTCAGCTTTGGGCCTCGTTGATTCAGGATGATACAATATCATGTATTGGGGACATTGGCAGGAAATTTTGACCAATCTCCTGATGCATGAAGGGGACAAACCTCTGTAGATTCTCTCACAGGCGCCACTTGGGGACCTCCTGTCTCCCTGATTCATGGTCCAAAAATTATGTCCAAATATATTATTTCAAACCTTTATTAAAAGGTCAATCTTCGTATTTTCCAAATATTAGCCAAAAATCAATATATATATAAATGCATATTCCATTATATATTATCAACTAAAAATTATGTAGTTTTATGAATTCAATATATATATATATTTTTGGAATTATAAAAATAACATATATATATATAGATATTTTATAATATATATCTTTCATTTTATTCATTTCATTATTCGGCAATCTATCGTCTGCCCGTCAGGGGCTGCGCACATGCATCGAAGATCCGAGGCGGATGGTTCCTGAACATCTGAAAGCCCAAATCCGCAAGCTGCGAAGGCTCCAAAACGAGATCTTTCAGCCGTCAAAAGCGGTTCCTAGCAAATCATGCAAGGCGGACTCCCTGCTGATGGTGCGACAAATCGGCAATCTCCATCTTCGATTGGTGACCATTTCCTGGGGCACAAGCCAAAGCAAGTAGCAAGCATCCAACGTGCCATGGTCAACGACCGGAATGGTCCATGGATCGAATT